TGTGCAGTTTAATGTTGCGTTTCAAATCATTTTTGGCTGAAGAAGTGTGTAATGGAATCAGGGTGTCCCCTGAATACTCCTAACAGTAGGAGATGCCTCTTTGTTTTGAACAGCAGAATCCCAATAGACCCATGACAGCAGTGAAATTACACTTTTGACCTTGTTCACTAAAGTGTTTCTTTCTCTATATGATTAAATGAGAGTAACCAACAATAGCCTCCTCTAAAATGTATGAGGTTTCCCTCTGTTTGTTTCTCATAAGAAACTCGGAAAGGATGCTGTGCAATTCTCAGTTGATTGTGTTCTCCACAAAAGAAAAAAAAACAACCCTGCTTGATTCAAGGAGAGGTGGCTGGTTTATCCATATTAAAAATGCGAAAGCAATTGATATATTGATATTTTCCTTAAGGCAGTGTTGTTGCTACGTCCTGAGTTTGAGAGCAGCAGTACAATACGGTGGTGAATTTTTACCCTTTTGTTTCATTGACCACATATTTCAAAAAGGGATATATACTAAAGCACCAAATATTGTTTTAAAGTATTGAATCTGAATATAGAAAAAAACATACACTTAAGGGTCTCTGTGAATGCTGAAATACTCAAAAGATCATTTAGCTGATCATCATGGACTACGCAGTTATGTCAATCCGATAGATAAGTGTAGTAGTTTCTGTAGATCTACATGCAGCTTTTAAGCTCCTGGTGTTTCTTTTCACTTGCACGTGGCTGGATGTAGCCACTGCAGGATTTGATGTGACCGCCAGCCCCACCTTACGCGCCAAGGTGCTGGCATATCTCTTGTTCCACGTTTAGTTGTTCAGGGCACAGCTTCTCTGCATCAGAAGAACTCAATGAAGTAGCCAGAAGAGAGATACGAAATCCGATTCTTGTTACTTCCATTTTAGGTGACTTCAGCTATGTTTTGGGGACTTTTTTCCCCAGTATATTCCTGCTTTCTGTGAATATTTACCAGCTCCAGATTAGTGAACATACGTGCTCTGCACAACAGAGAAAGGTATCGGTGAAATGCAAGGGCAAGTACGATCCTGTAGTTTGTGTGGGTGAGGAGTTAGGTAGCAGGTTTCAAAAGAGGGGAGAGGATCAGGCAACTCTGTAGTTTGTTTTTAGAGGGGATCAAAATAAGTGACTTAATGGCCTCTGTGGCCTCAAGACTTAAGAGCAATTTCTCCAGTTTGTTTGCTCACTGTTGGTGAGGCTGCATGGAGACATATAGAGTGTGGAGGGCAGTGCACCGAGGGGGCTACAGATCTGTGACCACTGATTTCCTATCCTGCCAAAAAAACTTTGGTTTTTAATTACTACTTCATTGGTGGTATAATTTAATGATTGGTATGGGTCTGAAGCAACCCTGTAATCAGAGAATGTCTGGTTAGTGTTGACATACTTGTTCTCTGCAAACATGTATCATCCGTCTGCCTTTGGCAGGCTCGCCCTGTGGCTCTGATATAATGTGTTTCACCAGTGTGGCTGAAATTAAAACGTCACTATTAAACATGGCAGAATCAGATGCTCTCTGGGCACTGCATCTCTTTGAGTTCTTCTTGCTTCCTATGTAGCCATTTCTGACAGTTTAATAGGACAGCTGTATTCTGGTATAAAATAATACATTCATATTTCCACAACGCAAGGGGAGCTAAACGCTTTCAGAGCGCTGTTTCGTTGCATACATGCGTCTTTCATGCATGGCGGAAGCAGTGACGCTCACGTAACACCAGGTTGCTGCTTAGTCCATTAGGAAGCATAAAGTCAAAATTAATTGTCCGACAGGACCGTGTAGAGTGAGTCTCTAAAAGCAGTTGCTGGGTTGTTTGCGGCTGCTGCGTCAGCCAGGCTCTCTCCCCGTGAGCAGTTATTGACTTTGGGCTATTGAATTCAGGGCTCTGGAGGTTACTCGGTGGGAAAAGCCTTCAGTCGGTGCTTGGCAGCTCTGTCACTGCGAGGTCATGGAAAGGGCAGTGCAGTCTCCAAACCCAATTAGGGCCTGATTCGGCACCTCTTCAATCACAGGGGAAAGTCCCACTGAGCGGGGTTCCCGGGCCAGGCTTTTGCACCCAGCCTCTCCAGTGAGATGGCCGTTGAATGTGTCCGTTTTTTTCACTTGGACCATTTCACTTGGAAATACCCTTTGCTGTCATGAAACGGCTAAGCAGCTGGTGCAGAAAGATAAAGAGCCTGGTAAGACGATAATGAGCCCACCACAGTTGAATCCAGACCAGTGACCTGTACGTGTATGTCTGTGTTCTTCCCGTTACTCATACCTAGAGCTGTCTAATTCCTCGGATCAAATCATTTGACTCTTACGAGCAGCTGTAACTTTCGAGTTGAATAAAGTCCAACTGCTGAAAACATTAAAGAAAAACATAAAATTGAGGCTCTGTTTTATCAGGTACCAACAGCATTGCTTTAATTCTCCTCCTCCAAAGATACTTTTTTTTGTGCTGGGTTGTGTTTTCATCCCAGGTGGATTTCTAGTGAAAATAAGTTGAGCCATGAAGGGTTGACCCACTCACCTCTGAATTGCTTTTTATATGATGAGAGTCCCTCAGGGCCCAATTCTAACCATAGAAGTGAGAATAATAGCTATCAACCTATGCAGGAAGTATGTCAGTGTGCACAAAGAAAAAGGTGAACCCCAGACTGGTCTGAGTGGTCTTTAAAATATGGATTTCCTGTGAAATGGTGATTAAAGGGGAAGCAAAGGATAATTAGAAAATTAGCCTGACGCGCTAGCAGTTATATCGATGTGTATTTTTATATTAGCTCTTTCAGACAAGTGCAAGATCAGTAGATCCCTTATGACTCTCTTAAACTAGTGTGTAAAATTTGGTTAGTGTCTGATCAGCTCCTTTGATCTGTCTAGTCTAGACCATTGCCAGAGTACTTACTCTGTACTAAACCCACAGTGCTCTTAAATGGAGGCCTACTCAAGTGAGTCAAATTACAGATGAAAAGGTTGTAGAAGTTGTCCGGTGTCTGAGTAAATGAGTGGTTCAAAGCTGAATACCTTAGGAATTGCAAAAATAAAAGCAAAAGCGGTGTTGCAGAAGAGGTGGTAGAGTTCTTAATTCATTTTTAAATGACTGTCTCAGAAATCCAAATGAAAAATTTTCAGCAGACCTTTATTATTTTTAATTGGACCAGCGTTTTTGTAAGTCTGCAATGTATTCAGGATCCCATAAAGGGGAAAAAATTCCATCAAAAATTCTGCGCAAATTTCTTTTAAGAGATTAATGAGTTATGACTATCGTGTCTGTCTCGATTCAAATACACAATATTGTTTTTTAGTTGTAGCAATGGAGAGCCAGTGAGAGCCTTCACTATATAGGTTGCACTCTTGACACCTCTATTTTCTACACAGGATTATTTGCAAGGGAGTGCTGGAAGTCCAGGAGCAGTAAACTTGTTATTTGTCAAAGCAGAGCTGTTTTCCCCTCATCGCTAGAGCCTTTTCCCACCTCTCCCATTGTAGTGCCATCCTGTACCTATCTGTTCTTTACCACGTGAATCTCAGGAACGTGAACAGTTCCTTTCCTCTCTGATAGTGCTCCTTCCTTTTGCATACTAGCAATAGTAGATGACCATTTGGAGACAATTTTAGTCCAATATCATATCCAGAAGACTTTGAAAGTTATCCAGTGCCACTAATTTTACAAAGCTGGTTTGTACCTGGTTTTCTCAAGATGCCTGTGTTTTGAATTTAGAGGTTAAGTTTTCGGTCTTTGTCTGCCCACCATATTTGTTGGCTGCATTGCAGTGCCATCAGAATACCTGGCATAGAAGCAATGCCCGCAAATTGATCAAATTCATAGAATCATAGAATCGTTAGGGCTGGAAGGGACCTTCAAAGGTCATCTAGTCCAACCCCCCCAAATTATCAAGAGAAGTAAGCTAGCACATAAATATCACATCAGCAGGATGAAAAGATCACAGAAAGGCGACCATTTAAAGCATATAGAAACTGGAATCCAAGTGATAGTTGCTTGGTTTATCTCCACTGAATTCTGTGCAAATTCAAGAGGAGAGCTGGTACTCTGCTACTGTCCAAACACTGAATTAATCTACTGATGGTCGAGAAACAGCTCCAAAACAGACATTAAAATCTTTGGGATGATACATAGTTCATCCAGCTTTTTGAAAGCGCCAAGTGTTACTATACTTACAGAGCTGCGTAAATAACAGAAAGATGAAAGAACCCAATTCTGTGAGTAAATACATGACCGCAGAATGCAGTAGGAATAACGGGTAGATTCTTCCTTCCCTCTCGTGACTGTGTTTCAGCCAGTGGCATTACACCAGGGAAGAATCGAACTGTATTTTTCATGCAGTGTAGAAGACTGTTAAGAGGCAACAAGCAGATGTTTGAGAGAATTTCCTCTCTGCTGTTTGCAGAAGCATATGTGAAATATTCTGGCTGATCTATAGTCATTCCATTACCTGTCGTCTTTCGGCAGGTAACTAGTTAAATTTGTGTTAAACAGGATTTGCTTTGCCATTTCCATTTGCTGTTGGAGTAGAAATGTTCTGACATGACATATGACCAATCAATAATTGGAAAGTGCTTGCATGAGTCATTTGAAGCCAGTAGTTTAGACAGTGTATGCTACAACTGGGATTAAAACCTGCAAAGAGTTGTTCTACAATCAGTGATTCTGCAGCTTCTCCTCTGGGTGTCTGCATTTCGCTTAATAAGGGTACCCTGTAGACATCAACTGAAATAACTCTTGCTTTTGTTGCTTGGATGTTTTTGTGAGCTCTCAAATGAACTTGGCATATACAAATATACTTTGTTATCCAGCCTAAAGGATGCAGGGCAGAAATCATTATCCTATTCTACTGACAACTTCAGTAGAAAAGAAATGGGTTTATTTTACTGTGACTCTGAAGAGAATAAGAGTGTGACTGTACCCTGTGGTTTTCTGGGTATTTTTTACCCTTTTTTTTTTTTTTTTGGTACTGATGATGTTTTATTACTATTACAGGGCTATAATAATCCGAAACGGTGAAGTCATTCCAATGTCTTCAGAATTCACTCCAGAGACCGAACGCCAGCGACTTCAGTATCTGGTAAGAGACCTGAGGACCAAATCAGGTGCTGCTGATGACAAGCACTGCCTGGTGATATCTGAGGTTCAGACACATGCTGCTGACTTTCTGTGGCTTGACAAAGGACCACGTGTCTGCTGAATGCCAGTGACTGGACATGTATGGCTTTTAGCCATCAGCAGATGTGGAGGAAAGCCTGGTGGTAAAAATCCTGATGAAAGGATTCTTATCTCTTCTGTGAAAACCATTGATTAGTGTGGCTGTGCTTGTGTACCTTGCTCAGCTGCAGACCTTCAGCAGCTCATTGGTGTTGGATAACAAGAGCTCAGACATAGAGCTAACAAGTCACTGAGGTATTTCAATCCATCCAAGTGTTTACTGTGTGACAGTATAAAATACCACAGGCTGCTCTTTGTGTGTGTGTGAACAATATTGCAGGGTTTTATTCATTTGCTTTAATAGTATGACAACAGTATCTCGATCAGGGAAAAGATATCCAACTTAGAGGTGATCTCAGTGAGCATTAGTAGCTACAGGGTAGGATGGATGAAGCAAGACTATTTTTGTATGGTATAGCAGCACCTATAAAGCTGGGATGGGGTGACTAGCTGAGGACATGTGGAATGCTTTATACACTAAGTTGTGTGGGCTGATAAGTTGCCCAAGAAACAGAAGTCAAAATGCATGCTGTTATTTTTCGTGCGAACAGTCCTGTTAGTTTTGAAGTTTTTCATTGATGGTCAGATGAATTGGTTGAAGTTGGTTGGCTATTTGTTAAAACGTCATTCCTAAAATGGCTAATAGGTTTCTTTTGTGCTTCTTCTGGTATCCTGCTTTTTCCCTCTTAGAAAGTTAAGCTTAAGCCAAGGCAGGCTCACTGTCGGCTTTGCCTGACATGAGGTAGACAGGCCAAGGTTAGCAGTGTTCCCTGTTCTTAAGGTATTTCTTATCTTCAGCCTGGCCCAAGCAGTGTGGTTTGAAACTAGGCAAAATGTCGGTGGTTGAAGGTGGAGGTGGAAGGTTTTAAAGAAAAATGGTAAATGTTTCTGCGATTGTCACATTTGATTATTTTTTTTTTTAGTCAGGTTCACTGGCTTGAAGCTGAGAAAATCAGAGGAAATACTGCTTTGGGAAGTATTCGTATTCAGAGAATCAAATGGAAAAGAGGCCTAATAAATATTTACAGTTCAGTTACATTGACAATAATTTGTTTGCTTTTAAAATAAAAGGTATGTTTAGTATCTAGGGAGTCTGCTACTTCTGTAGGAAATACGAGATAAAGTGTTGCCTACAAGGGATTTTTTTCTCTTTTGATGTCCTTTCTGGCTTATATTTGAAAACGACAGCTGATCTGAAAAGCATTTCTGCTGTTTCCTTTGGAAAATTCCTTTACCTTTGTTTGTTTATTTTAATTCTATATGTAAAAAATATGCCAGGGATATGGGTATCATGTTCAAAGAAAATACATGCAAGACAGCAAGAGCATGAAACAAAATTAGAGATAATTTCAAACATGACATTCCATAAGTAACATTTTTATTCTAGTGTTTAAAAAAAAAAAATTACCTTGAATTTTTTTACTACGTTGGCATAAACATTACACTCCAAAGGTTGCATCTGTCTTGCTGATTACATCCCAAACAGTTCTCCTTACTCTTAGCTTTCCCTAGGTTCTGCTATCAGCCTATTGCACCATCAACATCTCCTAGTATTATCTGAAAGTTACTTTGGATTTATTTTCTTACATGCAGTTAAAGCTGAGTTTCTTTGTTTCGAACATGTTGCACCACTCTTCCAGCACAATACGAAGAAAATCACTTAATCGTTTTAGCATTAATATTTGACTTGGTAAATGCAGAGGTACTGTTCAACTGTGGGGAAGTTACTGCACTGGCAAGGGGAGGGTATGGATTTACAGCCTGCAGGCTACCGAGCATTGGCTCCCTGTGGAGTGTCTACTACAGTAGACACTGTTAGCACAGTCAGGGCAAAGCAGCTTTCCTCTGCCTTTAGTGCCTATTGATTGCTTCAGCCATACAGCACGTTGGTTTAAGTTAGCTGGCATCTTCTGGATTCAGGTCCTCTTTTCTGGGCCCTAATTTCCATGTGCAAAGAAAATTGCGGGATAATGAGTCATTGAGGTTATGAGTCCTCCAGCCTAGTCCTGAACAAAACTGCTTCATCTTGTACTGGTTGAGTATTGAGAGAGGGAGGAAACAAATGTTTTCTCTGTCCAGCTCCCACTTTAATGCAAGTTTATTGCCACGTAGCCAAGAAGAGCCTTGGGCATAGGCCTCTGTCATGGCAACTTCAAAAAGAACGAGTTGACTACCCAGTCATTCTGACTTTCAGTCATCTCTGGGCATGGCCATCCGTCCGTCTCCACCTGCACCGTATTTTTTTTTTTTTTTTTATTTCAGGCAGGCTGTACGGCAGAGGCAGACTTCTGTGTCAGGGGACTTGTGAGAGTATTGCAGAAAGCGATCCGTCCTTCAGTTAGAGAACACTTCTGAAGATGCAAGGTGTGAAAGCCTTGCACCAGTATTCCCTTGGTCCTTCAGCTTCTGTAGAGGTTCAGTGCACCATACTGCTTCCCTTCCACTGGCGGGTGATCACAAGCCTCCTTTTCTTTTGAATCTTTGTGTCTCCTTTTCTTTTTAGTACTGTGGCAGGAGATCTCACGCAGTGCCTGTTCCAGGAAAGCCCTGGCTTCCTCTGTCAGTGTATCTTGAGGGAGAATAAAATCCAGTATTGACTGGGAACTGCTCTGGAACATTCAGCAGTTGTGCAGGTGACAACTGCCAGAGGCAATTTTCCTTTCATCTTCTGAGGAGGCTATTAATTTCAGTCACGATAGTCTAAATTTCAACAGTAAATGGCGTAGATTTTGTTAGTTATTTTCTTGGAAAATGTGTCTAAAATGAATGAGCGTATTGCAGATGTGTGTTTTCCTGTTAGTTACCAAAGTTGCACTTTGAAGATGTCACGTGAGGTCAGCATGGTGCATGATGACGTGTTGCATGATGCTGTGGTGAGAGAGATCTGTGGTTTTATGGAAAGCGTCCTGACCTTTCATAAGAGAGACCAATCAAGGGACGGATTTGGTTTCCACTTCCTTCTTTCCTTCTACCACCACCTCTTTTAGTTTTAACCTCTGTTTGGCTTAAACGTGTCCATATGATAATGGCTGAGTAATTTGCAAACTTCTGGATGCATTGTGCTGTGCATGCTGTTGTGAGCAGTACTCCCATATAGTAGAATATCCTATTAGAGAAGATGACACAATACGATAAGAGGATGAAGTTGTAAGATGTAGCTGACGTAGGGGAGAACAGAAATTCTGAAAATAACCCAGAATACAGTGAAACCACTGGTGCCGGTGATGTACCAGAGCAGTGCATACTGGAGGAGCTGGACGAGGCATCAGCAGGCCTTATCGAGGTACGATAAGATACATGCAGTGTTCCCTGCCACCTAATTAACTGACACACTAGTGTGTAAGTCTAGGTTTATCTTAATTTCATGTTTGCTTTGCTGATCACCAGGAAACACAGCAGGAAGTAAATGGCCTTTTGAAAGAAATGTGACTAATATTTCCTTGAGCAGACTCCATTTTAAACAACTAATGTTTAATGTAATACATCCAGCCACAAAATATTCCATAAAATGGCAGAGTACCAAGAACACATGATGCAGACTATGCCAGATTTATGCCAAAAAACTGTAATAGCTTCTGAAAGAAAAATGATGGAAAATATTCCAGTTCCATAACACAGAATAACAATGTTGTGTGAACATACCTCATAAGGATATAGAAAGTGTTTGATAGTCACTCTTTTTATTAAATTTCCGATTCTCTGAATGATGTTTCTGATTCGAGGTTCTTGTAAATTGAGACTAAACAAATTAAAAAATGGAAAATACGGTGCCTCATGACAGATGAAATTCTGGTAGTCAGTTCACTTACCAATTTTTTTTTCTCATTTGATCTCTTCAGGGGATTTCATGGTATCTGTTTGTATATCTACTTGAAAGATATGTAGATTTTTAAAGGATTGATTTTTATTTATTTTTCTGGTTCCACTGCCCAGCACAGTTTGATTGGGGTGGAGAGAGAGAAGACTCCTGCCCCATAGTAATTGGAGAACAATTTTCAACAAACCCAACTGGAAGTTGCAGCTGAGTTTTATAGTAGAGCATTCCTCTCTGTAGAATTACTAGAGAAGTGTCAAAAATAACTGTTAAAAAGAAAAGAGTAAAAAATACAGATTTTTTTTTTTTTTTAAAAAAAAGCCCAACAAAAATCTCCATTTCTTCACAAAAGAATTGAGCTTACAGGCACCAGAAGCTTCCAAATTGCTCTTTTGCCTCTATTCCACTGACGCCAAAAATATTAGAATCAAGTTAAGATCCCTGGATTGTAAATCAAGCATTGAGGCTTGGCTGCGGAAGAGAAATCTTATTTGAACATTAGCAGTCCACTAGTAACTCTGCCAGCTTTATTAATCGTATTTCACTTGTGACCTCAGACTTTCCATCTGAGTAAATCTTTATGAAATGCAGTCTTTCCCAATCGCTTTACCTTTTCAATAAAGGAAATTCTTGTTTTCAAGGGGAAAAAATGCTAAAAACCTGTAACCTTTTTCTTCTGGACCTGTGATCCAGCCTAATAAGTGATCTCATAATCTAAAGGTTAAATTAACTTAATTTTTATGTTAGGTATGAGATTTTTTTGCTTTAAATAAGGCTTCTTGTTTTGTAGGCAGGCGACAGTAGTCTTTAGCTAGAAGTGGTCTGTAATGATTTAATCAAGATAGGCTGTGCATTTTTAAAAGTGAACTGAATTGCACTTTCAAAACAGACTGACTTCATTGTTTACAATATCTCAGACTAGAAAGAATTTAAAAATACCCCAAAAAAGCCCAGCTCTCTATTCTCAGTGTGTAGCAATGCATCAAATAAATCATTAGGGATGTTCCATCTTTTTTCTGACTGGAATGAAAATAAAAATAAAAAGTTTACATGTTCTTTTAAATGAAGAATCCGGAGTTCTGGAATAATGAAAAGCCTCATCTGGACTAATACTGCTAGATCTCTCAGACGTCACTAGTGCTTCTCAACCATTTCTGTAATGAGGAACAGTGATCCTGTCAGAGGATCCTTGAAAACAATATTTGGGTGGAGGAGGGGACCTTGGCTGACTGTAGACTGCAGGAAAAACGTGTAATTCCCTTAACTGTACACAGAGAGAGAATTTGATGGAGCTCCTGTTCCAGGAAAGGATTTCAATGTCAAGATCACGCTTGTGTGCTTGAAAGCCACCTCTTGAAAGCTGAATCCAATCTTGTCAGCTACACACAGCAATCTCCCTTAGCCATGTTTCAGCCGAGCTCAAGGTGTTTTCTGGAAGGATGTCTGGCGATGAGAACAGGGGGACAAGCTGATGGAAGCTGATGGAAGGTTTGCCCTGTGATGTGCTGAGCCTGATCCAGCTCCTATTAAATTGAGTGGGAGCAGGCTCGGCCCTTAAACGCAGGAAATATTTTATTGTGAACTATCTGCATGATAGCTGCCAGGTAGATCAATAAGGGCTTCCGCTGCTTCCTGCCGCTCACCTTTGATGAGCGCTAGATTTATGACAAACCCACAAACTAAAGCCAGCTCGTTTGGTCTGCCCTGGCGGCAGCTGCTGCTGGAGATAAGACAGACTTTATTGCCTTAACTGGCTGGATAAGGAAAAAGAGTTATCTGCAGAAAGGTTAAGAAACACAACTTTTTTGAGTTCCCCAGCCAGTTTGACAGTGTCTTCAGAAGAGCTCGCTCACAACGTGGCTTTGGGGAGGTAGAAGGAAAGACTTGTTTATGCAAATATTCAAGAAAAATGAGTGAGGTTTATCTCGGAATAGAAGTAGTACAGTCTGTTTAAGGATTAACCTGTTGTGTCAAGTGTATAAATCCAAACCAAAAATCTGTGTGGTGGATAGAGCCTTGCGATGCTCTCGAGCACAGTCAGCTCTGGAGCACGTGAGCCTTGGGCACGGCTCTATGAAAGAGGCCTCCCAGCATCTGCAGAGCAGCAACACCAGAAAGGGCAGCAGCAGCAGCAGTCAAACGCTAACACCGTCGAAAACATTAGTTGCGGTTGTGACACAAAACTCCTGCTGCTTTTCTTAAAGTCTGCTCTGTACAAAGGAAGTAGTCTTTAGAAAACAATAATTTAAAATGCTCTGCAACTCGTTGTTTATTTGCAGTGTCTCGTGTGATGGGGTGCAGCACACTGAGCAGGTAAAAAGGAAAGTTTTTCTCAAGGCAGTGAAAATTGAAGTGTAGTAGTAATATTAGATTGTGTGTGTTGCTGGCATCGCTGAACTGGGAGTCAAAAAGCTTGAGCTTCACTCCACACACACCCCCTCCAAGTCTCTGCTTGCTCCATGGCTTTGCCCTTTGATCGCTTCCTTCTCTCAGGTCACTCTCTTACAAAAGCAGGTGTTCTGGTTTATGAAGCCCTGCAGACTCCTTCAGGGTCAGTGGAAGAGGCGTACTTTAGAAATCCCAAATGTTGAGCAGCAGTGAGAAGTGAAGGATTTTGAGGGCAAGAGGACTGCTCCCTGTAAGGCTGCTGCAGACATCAGTGTCAGAACTGGTGTATGTGCACATCGTTTGCTGAAACAGAACTCATCACCTTCCTTGTTTAAGAAGGAGGAAAATAAAAATATGTGTGGGAAGGGAGCAGGAAGGGATGGTAATGCTACCTCATTAAAAATAGGTGATGTCTGGTTTTATGATGTTCATGTGATATCTGTGGCTTGGTTTCTGCCCACAGGCTTACATGCAGCCCCACTTGCTGGGAAATGAGTTCACACATTTAGAGTTTCCACGGAGGGTGCAGCGCAAGGAAGTTGGAAAGAGGATGCTCTACCGTGACTTCAACATGACTGGCTGGTAAGAATGTGTCCTCAGCATGGGCTCAGCCTTCTCCCCAACCAGTGCCTGCTTTGTGTGTGTCGTTGGTTGGTGTAAACTGCGTCACACATGGAGGAGTATGCCTGGGTACTAAAGGGAAAGGTATTTCCTTCTTTCAGATGTATTTTTCTTTTTAGAAGTTAACATTTTAAATAAGTTGATCTCCTTCCAGAGCCAAGACCTCAGTTCATTTTAACGTGTGAGTGCTCAAAGTGGAGCAAACACATAAAGGGGAAGACACATGCCAGGGGATCTTCCTGAAAGCTAAACAACTTTCCTGTCTTAGAAGTAGCTTTTTATAGAATCTGGATCAATGGGCCATCATGCCTTTTCATGCCAAGGAACCCTTGCAAAAGGGAAGAGCTGCCTCTCGTACTCCCGTGCAGTTGACCCCCGATTTGGGTAACCCTTGAGGAATTGTTTTAGAGACAGGCCTATCTGAATAAAAGTCACAGCCAGCCTAAAATGAAACGGCTTGAATGAACAGCATTGTCTTCATGAAGTGAAGACAGGAAGAACGATGAGTTTTTTGTCTCTGGCTAAATGTCTTCATTGTTCTCTGTTGGTTCAAGAGGCTCCTCAAGTGACTCCCACTCACTTAGAGAAGCCCTAATCCTTGCTGTTGCGGGCTCTGCGTATGACCTATAAAGGCAAAAGCCCTATGTATGCAAATTTCCATACATATATTTCCATGCATATATTTCCAGCACTTCCATGTTGTTTGTGTTTTAGCATCCTTAGCAAATGTCCTTTCAGGAAGGGAAAGAATGGATTGTGTTAAAAAGCCTGAACTCTTATAGGTTTGGAGACTTGGATGCTCACACGCAACTACAACTTCACATGCTTCTGATTTGTTGCGTACTTTATAGACCATAAATATAATGATATTTTAATGTCAGAATAATGATCCAAGTTTAATATTATCTGGAGTGTTTGTGCAGAACATGTTAATCTGGGAATAACCATCATTGTCCATCATCTTGAACAGCTGCTAGTAGAATATGCAGTCTCACTCTGAGAATGATGACTTCACATTTTAAAAAGGCTACAGGCATGAGTGAAAGAATAGGAACAGAATGAGAACATTGGATCAACTGAGGACTTAAACAGCAAAACATTTGGAAGATCATGAGACGCTCTCCCAGTTTCTGCAAAATAAGTTTTCTTATTAAACTCCCAGATGTCTCTGAAGGTGTCAGTAAATAATGGCTTTATGTAGACTTCCAAAAGCTCTTTTTCAAGGTATGAAATGCCATTCGGAGGGGGGAAGGAAAAGAACCTTTTAATTTAGGGGAGAGCTACAGAAGTATCATGGGCCAAGAACTTCCTGAGAGGAGGGTAACAGCAGAATTCTTTCATCATGGTTGCAAGGCAAAGAGGGTTTCTCCAGATTTGTGGGAATTATTTTGTTTTTCCCCAGTTGGTTAGTGGCCTGGAAAGGAAATGAGGTTAGAATGACTGAAGTTGCAGCATTGGCAGGTGACACCACAGCTCTTTTACTAATAAACAGGGGCCATGAGGAACTGCAAAGAATTAAGTGATTTACGTGAATGGGCATCACAGTGATCAAATTTGGTGTTGATAAATACCAAGTAAATCATGAAGAGGTAAAAATAACTATTTGTGCACAATAGAGGTTCCAAATGAACTTGAGAGCCATGTCAAAAAGCTCAGTGGAAGTTACGTTTACTGTAATTTTTCCAGTCAAAGTCACCAGTGGAATGTTGAGATGCATACAGGGTTGGAACAGTTAAAAATTAAATGAAAAGATAATTCTATATAATGGTTTGTACCTTGTTTGTGAATCTGTGCATAGCACTTCTCCTTGTTCAAAATGATTATTGCATAGCTAATACTGTTTGTGGTTAGAAGAAAGATAAATGAGAAGGAACGCAAATTTTAAATGTAGAATAACAAGTAAGGTAGAAGAGTTTGGGTGAGTCTAAAGGGATGACAGATTTGATTCAAGGTATTGTTTTTCAGTACTGGTGTGTGAATACTGTTAACTCTGGCATATGGCAGGGGGGAGAAGAGAGTTGTTTCCTTGTGATTTTTCTGAATTTCCTGAAGTGTAGGACACATGTTGACACAGTGTTGATCCAATCCATTACAGATTCTAATATGGTAAATGCAAAAATTGCCACCAGTTGAGCACAAACATGCCTAGCTGTAAGCAGTTATTCTGGAATAAATACTTAAACTGTGACTTGAAAATTCAAGTCTGAATTCACCTCAGTGTTGTCCCAGAAAGAGGTGGCCTGTGCCAAGCAAAAGCATGTGGAGACTGTGATGAAGCTACCTCTCCCTGCTGTTCCTTTTGACTTTTGTCTGGAAGTGGAAAATGGGGGCTATGTTTTTGTCCTGAATAAAAGAATCTGAATCTTTTAGCTGCTTCATATCCCACAGCTAGTGCATCAGTTATATCTCTGTTTGACAATAAAATGATGAGGGAGTTGCTCTATCGCCATACATTTATCTAAATCAGAGCCCTTCTAAATAAAGATCCATTTCTTTTTGCAGGGTGTTTGCCCAAGGGAGTCTTGTTTTCCATCAAATTGTGTGCAGTGATCTCCTAAGCAGAGGAGAAGCAATATGTTTCTATCTATCTAAAAGTCCGGCTAAATTTTAGTAGTTGAGATTGTGCACAAGACGGTAGATTTCCAACTTGATGGGCCCTCAGAGGTGATGGTTTGAGGTGGCTGGTGTTTCACAGTGATCGTTTTCCACTTCAAGGGTTTTGTTTCTATTTTCTTCCCTTTCTAATTCCTAGATTTAACTGATGCATCAGGACACAGCGGCTGAGGACGTCTGTTCTGCATTTGTTTCTGAGGACAATATCTGTCATGGAGAATAAATTAGCATATATATTCCTTTTCTAGAAAACATCAGATGGAACTTTGGCCAGCCAGAGCTTGATACACTAAAACAATGCCAAAGTCTTATCACTTACAATGCAGAAGATCAATTGTCTGACCCTTTTTTGGTCAGTGACTTCACTGTGTATTGACATTTGCACGTACGTGTAGCGGGGTGCGGGTGATGTTAGGAAGAAACAGCCACTCTTGCACTTAATTACTGAATCCTTTAGTGAGAGGGTGTAAAACTCTCTCTGCTCTGGTGTTTCCTCAGGAAAATCAACTGTTTTATTTTAAAATTCAGGACACTTTCTGTGTTTTCTATTAGAAGCTGTATAATTACTTTTTTTTTTTCTTCATTTTTACTCTTCTCCTGTGTTCTGCAGCTTTCAGATTCTTAACAATGGCTTGGTTTGCCCAGCATGTTTGGATTACAGAAGGTTATTGTCTTTGGGTCTGTCATAATGCATTTGGCCTCTTTTTTTTTTTCCTTTTTCTTTCTTTTTTTTTTTTTTTTTCATGTGAAGTTTCCACACTGGCTTTGTCTCAACAGCCCACAGTGGTAGCAGATCTGCCAAGTTTCCCCACAGCATTAGGACAACCACTGATCCGGCAATGTGTACCGCATCACTAGTCCAGGCTGCCTGGAACTGCTTTGAGACCAGCCTTTCCCTTCTCCCTCCGGCTCTCCCACCCTTTCTCCTTTCTCTGCAGTGGCAGTTGGGATGAAAAATCAGCTGTATTAAATATACCTAAAATAAATCCCGTTTAGGTGGGAGCTGACTGTGAACTGCCCCTCCTGCACCCCACGCATGTTGTGGTTGAGCAACCATCGCAAAAAAGTGTACTGTAGCTGGCAAGGCATCTTAAGAGCTGTGTCTCCTGCTGGGCGTTGGCTGGAGCCGTAATGTGCTGGCAGACATCTGTGTTACTGACAGGCTTTCACAGCTGGGTCTCTGGACTGGGCTTTTCAGGCCCACGGCTTTCAGAGGTTAAACTTGTATCAGAGAGAGGGTAATTCTGGTGGCTTTCACAAGTCCTGGCAACAGAAGCATCAGGGAAGACTTGGTGGCCATGTAAGCGAAGTGCTGCCAGCACTAAAAAGGGGTATGGGTAGCCTGAGATAGGAAAAAAAAAAAAAGCAGTTCTGAGGATGACTGCTCCTTTAAAGGACTGCACAGAATTAGTATCCTCTGTCTCCACCTTTTATTTAAAAGTTAAGACATGGTTGGTCAGGTTTTCTTTACTTGTGGGTAAATCCATTGTGAACAATTTTGAAGTACTTTGCTCTAACTATATCCTAGAAACCTTCCCAAAACCTGGTTTTCTGGCTTACGGTGTCCCTCGCTGGCACAGTGGCTCCTGCCAGGGTTCCCCTCTCAGCCTCCCGCGGGGCGGGAGGAGCTGTACAGTGCTGCACTTAACCGAAGGCATCCAGAAGGCACTACCAACTGGCATCAGCTTTGGTGGTTTCAAAGTTAACTTTTTGCCCCTCCTTGGAATGCCAGCAGTGGCATTTCTGCTGCTCACATTGAAGTGGAGTTCTTCAAATGCTTGTTTCTGGATCAGAGCTTTAGCTTTGATTTTAGGGTGGCAAAAGAGCCCTAGGTAACGAGTCCATTTTTTGACCTGATTTGGCATCCTTTGCCCTCCAGGAGCCTGCAGAGTTGAGCAATGTCCCGACAAAAATGATCTGAGCTGGTGTAATACCCACCACGAGTCGTTGGCTGAAGCCCGAAGCGGCAGCAAGCAGGGGAACAGGGCGCTGCTGCCGCGCGCTGTACGCATGGCAGTGACAGAGCCCTCACCCGCTCCGTGCCCGTGTGTCTGGTGAGGGGGTGCTGTGGGTCACAGTGAGCCACCCGAGGGTCAGCCCGTGCCGGGGAATCGCCCACCCGCGTGATTTATTCCAAAGCAGGGAGGCTGGTGCCCTGGGGTGAGCGCTAAGCAAAACCCATTTTATTCTAGAGTCAATATTGTCCACTGCCTGGAAAGCCGCCAGCCTGCTCCGCGCTCACCCTTTTCTTTCCAACAGGGAATGTCTTTCAGCCTCTAAGCATCTGATTAAAAAAGCAACTTCACTTTTCAAGCTGTTTTATTTTGTTTGGGATGGATGCCTTTTGC